TAGTATTGTAAACATTATTTTACACATTGTCTAGGTTGGCTGAGTGTTGCTGGTGTTTTGTTGTAGGCTTCTGTGCTGAATCTATGCACATGCTTTTGTACAAGTATGCCGTTGGGGTGTTAATGACGTTGATGTGATGGTTTCTTGCTAGGTTTTTTGTGGTGTTTGGTGTACATGTTGCTGTGGGAGATGGGGCGGGGTATAGTATTGAACTGGGGGTTGAGGCTCTTTCTGGTCTTTCAGAAGTCATGATCCTCGCGAACCTCATGTCACGACTCACCTGGCCAAAAAAAACAGCAGCCAAGCTGCAAAGACTCCAAGGTCCATGTCGGGGTTCATTGCGCGCGAAACTCCAGGATCTGCTTCGTGGACAAGGCCTTGAAGAAAGCCACGAGCTGGGGGACACAACTCGCAGCCCTTCTTGTTCATCTTCAGAACCCAAAAAACACGAAAAAAGGTAAAGCAAATCAAACGCAAACACACCCGATTTCGGAAATGTTGAAGTGCAGGTGCATGGATTTGGCTCAGCATGCCTGAATCGTCTATCCTTGAATGGGATTTCAAAATACACCATCTCACATAGCTGATACATCTGATACTATGCGTGGGTTGTGTTTACGGGGCTGGAACAAATGCACAAGCAAGAACGAGCTGAAGTCTTCCGTCCATTTTCGCAAAAGATCGGTCATGGCTTTGCCAATTGCGCTTCAGCGGCCTCCTTATGCAATTTGGAAGCAAAAAAGAAGCGCTTCTTGATAGGGTGAAAATACACAGCATGACAACTCTTGTTGCGAATTAGTTCGGCAAGCTCCCGAGGGAGGATGCGAATGCTGTTGAAAACCTCTGGCATGCCTTCAGGATAAACTTTGAGGAGCTCTTGCGACATCTGGCGTCCGTTGAGCTTAGGATGAACCTGCAACTCCATGAAGCCGACAGCTTCTGCTGTAGCACATCGCCGATACTCTTGCTTCGTGTCGTTCAATGATATTCCCTTCCTTGGCTTTCAAGAACACGCACAACAAAAACAAATACGAGGTTCAAACACCGAAAAAGTAAATCATCATTCGTTCAAGCCAGGCGCTTCAGATTCTCACAGGCCTTCGCCAAGTCGCCAATCCGGAAGCCACCTGAAATGAACTCAAAGTCCCCCCCGAAAAAACGCTTGAACGCAGCAAGCACACCTTCATCAATCAACATGTTGTTGTATTGAGCTGAAGCGCAAGCATCCACGAAGTCTTTCCAATTCTTCTCATGCCCATGCAGTGCCAAAAACTCCTTCGCTTCCTCCTCCGTCAAGTCAGCAACCCAAATGTCTTCCTGTCTTTCAGTTCCACCAGCATCGAAAGCCAGCGCCACTGCTGCCGAGGAGGCTGATACAATCGCCTTGGACAAAGGATAATTGGACGGAACTACATTCACTCAACATGGTTTTGTTTGAAGCCTTTGAATTTAGCATTGAAGCCGGGGGGCATGAATGGCACTTCCGCTTTTGTCCGTCGCCACATCCTTCGCAGTAGAAGAGATTAAGTTGATGCCTCGGCGAGCGGAACGGAAACAAGCAGACTAGGGCAAAATGCGTTACAGCATCGCTAGAAAACTGAAAAAACATATTTTGTCCAGCCAGTCCTTCGGTGGTTGTACGAGGGACTTCAAGAAGAAGTATTGGAAACTTGGTGAGGTTGTTGGGGAAGTCCTTGAGCTTCTCGGGCACTCGCCGCATGACCTCTTTGAACAGCCCTTCGTCATCTACTCCCAGTTGCTTGCACATCCGATCTGCCCAATCGGCACTTCTGATGGTGAATCGAACAACACCTCGCACCCCGCGCAACGCTTCTTCTGTTGCCACAGACTTTCCTGACTGGTACCGACCCCCAATGATGGTCGCATGTTGTTGCCAGCTCGCAATGCGTTGCCGGAGAGTTTCCATCACTGGCCTTTGGATGACCTCGTCTTGCGGCCTGCTGGGTTCAAAAGGCTCCATGGTCTTTGCCAGCGCTTCTTGGATTTTGCCTTCTGGAGAGGCTTTGAACGCCGCCACCAATTGCCCAAATGCGAAGGCTGCACTTGCCACGCTATTGAAGAAGTCGCGGTTTCGCCCAACGTCGTCAACGAATTGTTGAAAATCCCTTCCCGAACGTGTCCAGAGGCATAGGCTGGGCTGCCAGATGCAAAGCCAACACATCCCAATCCGCGGGGCCCAAGGCGTGAGGGCCATCTCACGGAACCCGCTCCAAAGACATCCATCTGCTGGATGAAAAACATGAAACATCAAACTGGCCTTTTCTTAAGCACAAACGCATAACCACAGGAGTCAGGAACCAAGTTGACATGATTTTCATGTCCTTGACCTGTGGTGGTGGCACGAAGGCTCCCATCAACTTCACCAGACTGAAGCCACCAACCAGCACCATCCATGGCTTGACACGCTTTTGGTGCCTTTGGTTCATCGGGTTCATGGCTACAACAAGGAGTGTGCCAACACCACTCCATGCACTTTTACTCCATAATATTTCTTAGTATTGTAAACATTATTTTACACATTGTCTAGGTTGGCTGAGTGTTGCTGGTGTTTTGTTGTAGGCTTCTGTGCTGAATCTATGCACATGCTTCTGTACAAGTATGCCGTTGGGGTGTTAATGACGTTGATGTGATGGTTTCTTGCTAGGTTTTTTGTGGTGTTTGGTGTACATGTTGCTGTGGGAGATGGGGCGGGGTATAGTATTGAACTGGGGGTTGAGGCTCTTTCTGGTCTTTCAGAAGTCCTGGCCAAAAAAAACAGCAGCCAAGCTGCAAAGACTCCAAGGTCCATGTCGGGTTTCATTGCGCGCGAAGCTTCAGGATCTGCTTCGTGGACAATGCCTTGATTAAAGCCACGAGTTGGGGAACACAACTCGCAGCCCTTCTTTTTCATCTTCAAGAGAAAAAAGGAAAAAGGGAAAAACAAATCAAACAGAAGCACCCCCGTTTTCGGAAATGTTGAAGTGCAGGTGCATAGATTTGGATCAGCATGCCTGAATCGTCTTCTGACCTATTTGCGAATATCCTTGAATGGGATTAACAAATGCACCATCTCACATAGCTGCCACTATGCATGCGTTGCGTGTATGGGGCCGGAAAACATGCACAAGCAAGACAGCGAAGGAGCTGAAGTCTTCCGACCATTTTCGCAAAAGATCGGTCATGGATTTGCCAGTTGCGCTTCAGCGGCTTTCTTATGCAATGTGGAAGCAAAAAAGAAGCGCTTCTTGATAGGGTGAAAATACACAGCAGGACAACTCTTGTTGCGAATTAGTTCGGCAAGCTCCCGAGGGAGGATGCGAATGCTGTTGAAAACCTCTGGCATGCCTTCAGGATAAACTTTGAGGAGCTCTTGCGACATCTGGCGTCCGTTGAGCTTAGGATGAACCTGCAACTCCATGAAGCCGACAGCTTCTGCTGTAGCAAATCGCCGATACTCTTGCTTCGTGTCGTTCAATGATATTCCCTTCCTTGGCTTCAAGAACACACATAACAAAAAAAACTAAGAGGTTCAAACACCGAAAAAATAAATCATCATCCGTTCAAGCCAGGCACTTCAGATTCTCACAGGCCTCCACCAAGTCGCCAATCCGCAAGCCACCTGAAATGAACTCTGGTTTAAGTCCCCCCCAAAAAACTCGACCGCGGCAAACACACCTTAGTCAATCAACATGTTGGCTTTACGGCCATCGCTCGCCCTGCGTTTTACAAGACCCAACATGTTGTTGTATTGAGCCGAAACACAAGCATCCACGAAGTCTTTCCAATTCTTCTCATGCCCATGCAGTGCCAAAAACTCCTTCGCTTCCTCCTCCGTCAAGTCGCCAACCCAAATGTCTTCCTGTCTTTCAGTTCCACCAGCATCGAAAGCCAGCGCCACTGCTGCCGAGGAGGCTGATACAATCACCTTGGACAAAGGATAATTGGACGGAACTACATTCACTCAACATGGTTTTGTTTGAAGCCTTTGAATTTAGCATTGAAGCTGGGGGGCATGAATGTTCTGGTTCACGCCAATGCGCGAGAAGACGCACTTCTCCTTGGGATAGTCGGGGAAGCAGTCCAGGAACTTGGCGATGTAGTCCTCGGAGTTCTTCCTGGCCAAGGGCAGGATGCGCTCTGGGTACTCCGGATCATGCTCCTTCTCCTTGATGTAGTGCGCAAAGTTGAAGTGCTTCAGCTTGGTCTTCCTTCCTTGTGGCGCCTCTCAACGATTCTTGCGGCAGTCATGGCATTGGTAAAGGCATGGTGGGAGATTAGGTAATCGAACTCCTTCCCCTCCTTCGCCTCGACCTCGTCCATGAACTGGATCTCGTTCTCAAGGCGCTGCAAGTAGAAAAGCAGAAAAGCCCAAATGGGCGTGGTCAAAGGCAATGCCATGACACTTGCCACCAATCCGTGGCAGGACCTCAACACCTACGCAAGACCCTCCCAGGCTCATCCTGCCCACCCCGCATTTCAACTGCTTCAACAATCTTAAGCATCATGACATCTGATCGTGGCCCAACTCTCAACGGCTTTCAAAGCTATCTCAAGCATGTTGGTAAGGTCCACCCCGGACAAGTACGCCTCTGGCTGATCACAGTCGGGGAGCGCCCCCCTTCTAACAAACGTGGCAGGCTTCAATCGTGGGTCCAGGCTTCCGCAAACTCCCGGAATCTGCGCCATCTGCATCAGCACACCACCAGCCCAAACCTGAAAGCTACAACTCGGCGTCGGGCGATTGAGCCTTGCGCGTCACTCGACAAGCCGCGCATAAGGCTGCCCTGCTTGCCAACAACCCCCCTAAAGGTTGTGCCTTGTTTTACTCAGCGTTGCGGGAGAAACTCTGTCCCTGGCCAACACTAGCCTAAGGAAATCTTCAGTTCAAATGAAAAAGGCGGCCCGAGAACACAGCATAGCACCTCAACAAGAATCCTAGCTGGAATGGTGCCTCCAAAAACTGGCTTTGCCAGTACGGAGCCACTCTGAGACCAAGAAAGTCAGGCTGGCGCGCCCTTGCCCTGCTCATGTCCAAGTGGTTGGGGTTGTGGCTGGCCAGCTTGCGCTGGCTGGGCCCACGCATAGGCCTGGACCTTCTGGCTGCTGGCGCAACAACCACAGCAGCAGCAGCAGGCGACAATGCAAAGCGTGAGGAGCAATAAGACGACAACAAGAATTGCCACCACAGCTACCACATTCACGCTGAGACAGCCGGCGTCTGAGGCGGCGCAGCAAAGAAACTCATAGCCTGTAGGTCCATGGCACGACTCCGGCAGGCCACATGTTGTCTCTGGGTTCGCCACCGTCAGGAAGTTCACGATCTTCCCCGCCTTCAAAATGCCGGTGGATGCACAGGTCTGCATGAAGTCCAGGGAGCACGCGCTTGCCGGGTTAGCTAGCTGTTTGCCAATATCAACCACACACTGTAAGCCACCAGGAGCCAACTCCGGAAGTCCAGAGAGAGCGACACTTCCCGACCTTGGCCGGCTCACCCACCCAGTCCACATCTCATCCCGGTACGATGGAACCCCTCCCACCTCTTATAAACACGTTTTCCACTTCGCAACTTGCGCAGCTTGTCAAGTGATCTCTCGATCCCTTCACCCAAAGACCCAGACCCTTGAGTAGTGGAGCCCGCCGCGCAGTCACCACCGTCGTAGTTGCACCTCAATGCGTCAAGTCAGCGCTGGTCGAGCAACGGCCGACATCCTCTTCCCACCCCAGTCTGAAGCTGAGAAACGCGGCATTGTTGCACGCATCGTCGCAAATGCCGTCTCCAGGCCAAGAGTCAGAGCAACCGCTGGCGCACAGAGTGGCCTGCGTGCGCGGGTTCTACAGCTTCGTGTCGGGTCCGAAATTTACGCTTTTCACCCTAAGCATCTCACAAGTGAAAAGATGTCAAAAGGTTGGGTGGGGCAAACTCATGCAAGGATATGTTTGCACGAGCCACCTTGACTTCGGCCATCAAGAGAACCTGCTTGAAGCTACACAAAAAAACCTCCCACGCACCGCCCTCCAGGTTGACCTAGCCTGCGCAGCAGCGCCGTAGACTCCAAGGGCAACCAACCCCCACACCACCGCCATAGACTCCAAGGGCAACCAACGCTTTGGGCAAGATCTCTCCTGGACCCTGACAGCTACAAGCATCCACATGGGAAAATCGCTACATCTCCACGTGCCTCTTCTGATCTGTTATGGAAACTCAGGCCGTTTGGTCGCAAGAAATTTGAAGCAGCAGCTGACAGCATGCTGAGAGCGCACCTTGTCTCCAAGATTCTCAAAGCGTCAAGTCCACACTTCCTTGGAAAGGGTGGTCGTTCACATCTCATTGAGAAGCTCGACCCCAAACTGCAGGCATCAGGCAGCTCAACTCGACAAAACTCACCGAGTCAAGCGTTCCCTCTCTTGCCCCCGCAGGCTCGGGACACTGGCTGTGCGCGACAACTCAGCATGGCGCAAACCGATGTTGCTTCATCTTGCTTCTCTGCACAGCTAGGTACCCGAAATAATGGCAAGTATTTACGAAAACGTTCCTAGTTCGGCACGTGAACAGCTTCAAACTGAACCAAGGTGGTCGAGTCTTCTTCAGCGCAGAAAAGCTCGCGCTGAGCGGATTGCCCGCCACGCCGTGCCAAGCTCACAAAAGCGGTGAGACCGCAGTGAGTTGGCGAAAGCTGCCAGGCTGCAAGCTCATCAGAGGCAAGCTGCGAGCGGCGCAAGCATAGCTGGGAGAGCCAGCACGCTCGCGACCCCGGAACTTGTTTGCACGATGATGCCGCCACACGCCCCGTTGTAGATCTCAGAGGCACCGGTGCCCACACAGCTGCTGCTGACGGGGTCCAACACATAGCCGTTTGATGCGCACTTTGCCCGCCAGCATGCCTCAGCACACCGAGCGTCTGAGCGAGGGGTGGCTAGCAGACCGAACCAACTTCGTGGTGTGAAATACCAAGAAACTCAAAGGCACCGCCCTGTCACTAGGGGGCCTCAGGCCCTTGGGAATTTCGGGCATGAAGAATTGACAAACCACGTGCTCACGATGCAAGGCGCTTCACCGGCGCTGCAAGAAGCGCAATTGCAGCCTGAGAGTGGGCTGCAATCGTCTCCGCCTGATGATGGCGCGGTGGAGATCGTGGTCGCAGCGGTGGTCGCCGCGGTGGTTGTGGCGCAATAGCCAGAAGCAGACCCGACGTTCGAGCACACCCCGTTGAGGCACAGGTTGCTCGATTGGCAAGCAATACGCTCAAAGGTTGAGCCCGAAACCTTGGGCAAACAATGCCTGCGCATTCATTGCGCAAGACTCCCGATCCATTTGGAACACTGACTCGAAGCATCAGATGACCCTATATTCTCGAGGAAGTTCGTAAGCAACATCATCAAAAATCTCTCTAGGCGATGCGCACAGACCCTCCACCTCAGTGAACGTCAGCAACCTCACCCTGATTCCGCGCCAGAGCTCAAGCAAGTCATGGCAAAGGGCACCGCTTGAAAGAAAATGCCAGAAACTTGGCATGCCCAACCCCTCCAAGCCCCAGGAGCTGCGCACGCCTGTTCCTTGCAAGTTGTGGAAGCGCTGCAGCTCGCGCAGTTCTCGCAGTCTGGCGGAGAACAGCTTCCCGACCTTGGCCGGCTCACCCACCCAGTCCACATCTCATCCCGGTACGATGGAACCCCTCCCACCTCTTATAAACACGTTTTCCACTTCGCAACTTGCGCAGCTTGTCAAGTGATCTCTCGATCCCTTCACCCAAAGACCCAGACCCTTGAGTAGTGGAGCCCGCCGCGCAGTCACCACCGTCGTAGTTGCACCTCAATGCGTCAACTCAGCGCTGGTCGAGCAACGGCCGACATCCTCTTCCCACCCCAGTCTGAAGCTGAGAAACGCGGCATTGTTGCACGCATCGTCGCATTCGCCATCAGGACCAGGTGGTCAAACCAGACTTCACGTGCTAGATGGCATGCCTCTTGACTTCTGGTAGAGTGGCAGCTGCGCACCTTTCTGTGAAAACGGAAAACGGTTCAATCTAAAGATATGCGCACCTCCTCCCGTCCAAGTTTCATGCGTTTACAACATGGATCGTGGCACTCTGCTTTGCCCAGCTAGTCTACTACATGGCATTATTTCCTTACACAACTTGCTTCTAGCCTGTCCAATCGCTCCACGATGACACTTTGTGACAATTGAAATTAGAAGCTGGCATGGCTGGTGGACTCAAATCAATACTTACTTTTAGCCCTGCAGACTCAGCAGCGCGCCACAATGCTCACGGGGAAACCCTGCAAGATGCTGCATCGAACATGGGCAAGCTTCTCAAACCACGATTTCATGCACGTTCAGCGTTTGAACACACGACGCTACACACCTCAAACGCAGACATCACAAAAGAGGAAGAGAGAGAGAGAGAGAGAGAGAGAGAGAGATAGAGAGAGAGAGAGAGAGATAGAGATAGAGAGAGAATGACGGCACACACACACACAAAGCTCACAAACGATCGCCGTGCTGCCAAATCACTTTAAAAATGAGGAGTTGTCAATCATTCTGACGTGGTAGAACCCCGCTTTGGATCCCTGAGCGCACGCCTCCACAAACTACTCAGCTCTGCTGGAACCAACAGAAACCATGGGGCATGGAATAGAGGGAATAGAGGGAATAGATGGTTTAAAGGAAAAAGAAGGGAATAGATGAAATTCATGGAGTAGATGGAATGACCGTGCCCTGCTTTGTATTCCTTGCTCTTTACACAAACCCATCGCCATGCTGTGACAAAGCAACGCCAGTTCAGTTGAACAAAACTCAGTTACTGTAGATTCCATCGAAAAACTTCGGTGGTCATGATTGGCCACCAATCTGTGCCTGAGCGCGACTTCTTCTCTACAACAACTGAACAGTCTTTGTTGCCACTTTGCTTTCTCTCAATCCCAAACAAATTCGCTGCTTTAAAATCTGACTGCTGCCACGCCTCGTGGCCCGCATTGAACGCCACCAGCAACCCTGCGTAGCCTTGCCCTGTGGCCTGGCAAATGGGAGATCCGCCAATGTGCCTCTCACAATCAGACAGGATCTGGAAAGCATCTTATTACAAGTCTTACAAGCCTACTGGAACATGCCCTCTTGATGGATCTGGGTGTCGTTTCGCGGACTTGAAACCAAATCACGCTTGCGAAGCAGCGGTCCTGTCACATCCCTCTCCTTCGCATGTTGGAAACGAATGCTCTTGTGATTCTCAGGCTGGCCGACTTTCCACAGTCTTCGCTGACAACAAATGTTGTGAAATGACCTTCAATGAGCCTGTGCTTGGCCAACGCTACGTTGTCACTAAAAACATGGCAGGCAGTCATGGTGGTCGTGAAGGACGTAGCAAATGTAGTTGTATGACGCTCGTGAAGGTCATCCCAGTGCACTCGCCACCAAACGCCCTGCCCACACGGTGTGGCCGTTACCGGTACGAGATGCACTTCGGCCGTGACAGTCAGCTAAGAGCAGCGGAGCATCCTCAAAAGTGATGTGGAGCACGTCCAGGCAGGGCTCAGTCGCAACATCAGATGGGCATCTTATGTGGCCCTTTTTTCAAAAACCCTGCAAGCTGAGAAAAGGCTATCTCGCTATAATTGCGCAAATGGCTTGATCAAAAACACGTCTTGGCCATATGCTGCAATGTGCGGCCTCTCGTCCCTGACTGGCAAGGCAAGAACCAAATGCCAATGATGACTGACCTTGCTAGCAGCACAATCCGTTTGCACACACCATCTGCGCGAATCACGCTGGCACCATGAAGATGACATGTTGCAGCGCATTCATGCCCGGGGATATAAAAGCCTGGATTTGTTTTCATGGTAGTGCAAAGTGCGTACTGCGCTGCAAACACAGAGAGCAGCTGGGCTTAGAATAAACATGTAACAAATGCGCAGTCTTTCTGCTCGAGTCAAGTCTCACGAAGCTTCAGCAAGATGTCAGCTAGGAAAAGAATATCTGCCAGCAAATGTTGGTTGCGCTTCCACTGCACATGCAGAACCACCCAAATGTCTAAAGACTGCAACAACATAAAGGGGAGAAAATGCTGATGTTATGATACAGCCATGCGCACATCATCGCCTTCTGATATCTGTGTCCTTGTTGGACATGGATTCTTCCCTGTTGAAGATGCCAGCATACTGCTTCCTGCATGGCGACATGGGCACTGCTCTCGCCGGCAAAGCAAGCTGACAAAGATGGCGAGTGTTGATGCTTGCTCAAAGGAACCACAGGTTGTCGGGCGCAAATTGATGCTTGTCCACACAACTTGCAAATCGCATTTGCTGGGCACTACCCCTTTTGAAGTTCATGACAGAAACAAGAGAAGGCCGTGGCGTATATGACCTATGTTCAAGCCAATGCCTCTCTGATCCTGGTGCCTGTGGAGCCTGGGCTGAAGGCCCCTCTAACAAAGTGGGCCCACCACAGGCAAGGGGGAAAAATAATAAAAGGAGAATTCAATCAATTATTCTTTCTACTATTTTTTTCCAACAGCAACACAACAAACAGAAAACAAAATCCAGAACAACAAGCAAACAAAATAAATAATCACAACCAGCAACAAAAATATTTAATCACAGCATACAACATTAAATAATTCAAACAAGCATACCAACAAAACAGCAACACTCTAAATCATCAAAGAACCCAAACTCAAAAACACACATCAACAAAAAACAAAGCAACATACCAACAAAAAATATCACAAGAGTATCAAACAAAACAAAAACAAACAGCCAAAGCACGAAAAAATTGAAGAAGCATACCAAGTCTAAACAACGCACTTTGAAAGAGATAAGCAAATTAGGAAAATATTATATTTCAATCTTTACAAACGATAAATATATTACAATTATAACATATAATATTTTACATGTGACAATCATAGTATGATTATAAGTTTAGATAATCTTTAACTTTATTCTAATTCATTATAAAATTCTCTTTCAATTCGTTTCATTATTTTATCAACCGTTTTTTCATTATAAATATTATTTCCTATTTCCTTTGTAAACCAGCCCATTACTTCAATTGCATGTATTACTGTATAACTAAGTTCATCTACATCATACTCACAACTTAAGAAATCAAAGTCATTATCATTCAATGCTTCGTATTTTAAACGTTTTATGCTAAAAGACATATTGTATAATCTTTTTACCATGCTGTAGTACTTAACAATAAAATCATTAGTATTTCCTTCATCATCGCCCTCATATAATAAATTATAAAACTCTTCTTCAGTCAAGAACTTATTCATTTCAATAAACACAAATATTTCTAAATCATCATCAATATTTTTAACATTTCTATTATCAATATCTTCGTTATTCATATAATCAATTTTGTTTATAATTCTATTGCAATTATTGCATATCATATGTTGACAAATATTATTACTAACACCATCTACAAAACCCTGTTGAATTGTTAACTTTAACATCTCACAGTCTTTACATTTGTAATTCATAAACTTTTGTTTCAATAAACTTTTAACATCAATATCTTCATGGACAGTATCACTAAATTCACTATACACACTTTCTACATCACTATATTCACCATATTCACTTTCTGTATAACTCATTTCTATCTTAATATATTAAGTCAATATTTCTTTAAGTCGTTTTCAAAGAATTTTATATATTTTGGCCATAAGCAAGTGAGTTTACACTATCTATCCAATATTTTTTGTTTTCATAACTACTAAGAGCAATTTTTTTAGTTGTTATACTAAAAATTCTGTGGTTTTTACTTCTAATACTATTGAATGACTTATGTATAACCTCATTAGTTTTTAAAACCGTCTCAAACTCTTCATATTTCATTTGACGTCTTACTGTGCCTTTTGCTATGCCCTTACATCTCTGATATTTTTTATCATCACCATAAACTGAGTAAGCATAGCATTTAGGACGAAGAGCTATAAACCCTGTTATTATTGTACTTTTTAATTCATCCTTAAATTTACCTAGTACTTTCTTGTTATTCTCATCATAACATTTATGTTCCTTAGGATAATCTGAAAAATTTATTCCTTTTTTAATTGTATTCAGGTCTTCATAAAAGTCATTGGTTTTAGTATGAAATACAAAACTATCAGTATCAGTATATACCATTTTAATATTATCTCCATATTTAGGCTTCATAACGTCATAATAAAATTTATACATGTGTTGCTTACTCAAATCTAAAATACTCATCCCAATAAATATAGGTTTGTCTAGTTTCAACTTTGTTTTTTGCTTTTCAACTCCAACCAAATTTTCATTAATGATATGACTATGTTTGAAGTTAGGATTACTTACACGCTTCATATATCTAGTTTCATCACTCACAACTTCAAAGTCTAAATGTTTCCTTTTATCCTCCATTGTTTTTCCAAATATGGCATTGTTCATCAATTTGTAAACATCTTTCTCAAAATCATTTCTAGCATTCTTCCTCTTCTCAGTGTTAAACTCAATGTAAGGTTTTAAAACTTCTTTTTGTTCAAATTTAATTGCTCTATGAATTTTCTTAAGTTTTAACCCCTGCTTCAAATAAAATTGTAAGGTTCTTATATGGATTACATATTTTTCTTTATCATTTAAATTCAATACTTATTTATTTGTTTTCTCATCCGTAGGTTTTTTATGATTTGAAAATTCATAAATTTCAATTTGTTTATCTGACAGCATGTTGGCTTTAACATTCATAGTCATTGTGTAAATCGTGTAATTCTTTAGGATATTCTAAATCCACTTCTAGAATATATCCAATATTATTATTCTTATAATTAATCATGTCTTCTTCTTTTAATGTATCATCCCATTTTAGATTTTTATATGGCAGTTTTTGTATCATGCTTAACCCGTACAAATTATTAGCATCAAAATAGTTAATATAACTACTTTCTTTATTTTTATCATATTCTTCTCCCATGTGTTTATTATTTGCTTCAACTTTTTTAGTAGAAACCATACACATCCCGCCTCTAAGTCCCGCTTCTATCATTTCATACATTTCTTGGTCATATATTACATCAATCTCTACACCAGTCATTTTAAGCATAGCATCAAAAGCAAAGTTAGGCAATGTATAATAATAAGCAGGGTCCAATCCATAATATTTCATACATACATCTCTAAAATTTTCAAAAATGTCAGTCAATAATAATACATCAGTTTTCAAATATAAATCATGGTATTCACCCATATTCTTAATGTCAAAATGCTTCCATATAATTTTTGCCCTTTCATAGTCGTTAACACTTATACCTTCTTCACTCAACTGACTATAAAAATCATCCTTACTCGGTAATTGCTCATCATCAAATTTATCAAATGAATTCATGTAGTCATAAGGATAAACGCCTTTATCAGTTAATAAATCTAGACATTTCTCACTCTTAATCACATCATTTTTACTACTGAACCTAAAATTATCTTTCCAGTTTTCACGCAATAACCATTTACTTTTATCTTCTTCATCTGTATTATCATACTTACTCATTGAAACTAACTTATCTAATGAAGCAGTTAAAAACCCAAAAGTGTCTTTAACACTCAAACTTTCAAAGCTGATATGAATAAATTTTTCACTGTTCTGAGCGATGACACCTATTTTACTGTTGTTACTTAATTTATCAGCATTTTGAATAATTAAATGACCGTCATAATTTTTCATGTTATGAAAGAATACTGGAATTTTAAAATATCTATTACAAAAATTAAGATTGCAAACATTATGAGCACAACCTCTATACTTACCTGTAAAATGACAATGGTCTCTAACTTTTCTATATTTCTCTGCTTCCTTGGCATTCTTATAGTTCATTCTAAACTTATCTCCACAAATAAAGCAGTTTTTAGCATGTTTAAAATCTTCTTTGTCTTCATCGGTCGCGTAGTCACGCGAGGCTCTGCCGAGCGTCATGTCGAATTTTTCGTTTTCTCCCATCTTCTCCTTTACTTCTGCCCTAATCTCATTAAGTTTTTGACAAAACACATCAACAGCATCTTTACCACGATACATAAATTCATAATTTGTATTATCAACAGCATTAACCATATTAAGCATAAAACCACATGGTTTTATGCTCTTGATAAGAAAAAGTGTTTTTATCTTCATCTTCATCAGGTTTTTTCAGTTCCTCTGTCAAACATTCAAAATCAGCATATACAACAAAAGGACATCTTAACTTTTTGAAGTGATGCTTAAAACTAACTTTCTCATAAGGCTTAGGCATTACTATTTGTTGACCATCAACTTCCATGCATCCACTATCATAATGTCTATTTAATAATTCTTCATTTCTAAATCCATGATTACAATATTTACAAAAATAGGACTTACCATTATGATTACTTTTTTGATTATTAATGAGTCTGCTCAAACTTTTTATATACACATAATGACTGCAATCCTCATCATCAACTCTTAATAAATCAAAATGAAAAGAAGCATCTGTATTTTTCAATTTTCTACTAATAACAATTTGTTCATTATCATCATTTTCATAAACATTAATGAAATATCTTCTTGAAATATATCTATATCATTATTATTAGCAGGAAAACTCACACCATCAAAAATCAAATCACTTTCTATCTTCTTGTAATGAAACATCTTTTCAGGGTGTGCTTTATCACAAATTTTACAATATCCACACCCAATAGAATATTTAAAACACTTGTCATCTTGATTTTTAATATTGATACATGCCTTTTTCTTTTTAATCCATTCTGGAAGTTCAATATATTTGCCAGCTCTAGCCGGATTATATTTATTATACATGATATGAATATTATTAATATTGCTAATTATTAATCCTGACTGATACAAAGCCATATCTAAAATTCTTGTTTCAACATCAGGTCTCATTCTTTTCAAAGCATTCCTTAAATCCTCTTCATTTACAATAGTGTACGACCTTGTCCTAACTGTTACTTTTCTGTCCTCATCAAATAAGTTCATAACTTTCATATTTATTGTGGCATTAAGTTTCATTCCTCTATTCTCTTTCAAGTATTCATTAAGTTTGTCAAATTGATAATTAAAGTAAGTCAATCCGTTCAACTCTTTTAAATGACTGATTGAAATTGTGTAAGCGTTAGCATATGCTCTAAAGGCGCTTCTTTCTTCTGTTATTACTGCTTTTTTCT